TATTACAATAGTTCTCAAGGAAGGAAGATGAATAACCACCAGATAAATTAAGATCCTAACTTCTCTTGGGCGCCCCCTGCTTACCGTCGCCTCACAGCCTTCTACTCCAGCAACCTCCATCTTAACGCATCTTTTTGCGCAGGTGCTACAGAGGCACAGCTTCCGCTCAGGGCAGGATTTGCCCCACCCCCAACCGCGCGCTCCACGCGGGGCCCATTACCGAACTCAGCCCTACCCGGTGACTGTTTAAGCAACCTGCAAATCAAATTCTGCCTTTGAAGTACTGAGTGAATCCCTGGGATGGCTGAGGCCAGAGACTATGGGCTGCTGAGGAGAGGCAGAATAACAATGGGGAGTGCTGCCCAGAGTTGGCTGAATCCCGGTGACTTCCCAGAGGTAATAAGATAAACAAGGTGGAAAAGGATATCTGACACCTCAAGAAGGTCACACGATGTAAAAGGGGACCGAGGGACACGAGTGCAGAAGCACGTAGAGATAATTCAGATAGCTGCAGGATTGGGAGTGAGGTATATAATTGGTATGTCCTCTTGGAGGGTCTTAAGTTTAAGCTTAGAAGCCATGGGTGAGCACTGAGTAGCTTTTAATTGGAGAGCATGAAAAGGAAAGAGGGGGGACCCCAGAGAGAGGGCTCAGCGATAAGAGTACTCCGTCTTGCAGAAGTCCTGGGTTTGATTCCAAGCACTCTTACAGTGACTCAAAACATGCATGATTTCAGTTCCAGGGTTGGATGCCTTCTGACCTCTGTGGGCACCAGGCACCCAGGTGGGGCACAGGTAAAACACACTTTACAGGTTTCCAGGCCTCAAGAAGCTGAGCTTCTGCTTTAAAGAGGGTCCTTCTTTGTGTGTACCTACTGTTACAGTGTTTTCTTACCTGCTGTATCTGTCTGCCTGTTTGCTGTGTTTGTGGTTTCTCTACAGCTACCTGTCTGTTATGGTTAATAAATATTTCTTTAACTGGTAGAGAAAATGAAACCAATCAAGACTCTTAACAACTAGTGGTAGCAGGACCAGATAATAGAAAGTAGCTTCATGGGGGACATTTCATTTTTAGACATGGTCTAACTGTAGCCATGGCTGGCCTCAAATTCACAGAGATCCAAATGCCTCTCTGTCTCCCAGTTGTTGGGCTCAAAGTGTGAGCTTCTCTGCCCAGCCCCTGGGGGCAGTTTTGATGCAGAAATGACAGAAGGTGGCTGTTTTAGTGGTGGGGTGGGGGAGAAGGAAGAAGCTTTAAAACTCCTTGGCAAATGAATAGAGAGGATCTATTTGCAAGAAATGGAAATGGGGCTAGTTTCTCGTTGCAGGCGGTGTCTGAAGGAGTATGTGGGGCCTACATTTCTCATGTCATCTTCTCTGATTCCAGAAGGCCTCATTAGTTTTGTTACCACAGCTTATCTTCCTTGAAAAGAGCTGACAAGCCTAATCTGGGCTGTCCATAGCAACCTCAGGCCTGTGATACGTTCTGCATCTCTCCCCAGCAGATATCTACCTGTTTCACAGCTGTGGCCTATCCTAGTTATCCTAGACAAGGAAGGAGGAAGCATGGGTTACTTCCCAGGGCACATGTCATCTTCTTTTCTGGACCTTTTGCAGAAAGCTGATGTCCTAGGTTACAAGACTGTTATCAGACTGGTTCTCAGTCAAGACCAAAATGATTCAGTCCTCATTCAGAACCACTTTAGGTCCCACCATTTGGCTATAAGTGTAGGTAGGGAGGGGGCTTTTGATCCAAAAGCTATCATTAAATATGACAGTCAGTTTTATGGTTTTCCACATCTTCACAGAATTCCAGACCCCAAAAGCTGCTATAAGATAATTTATTACAGTCTAGCCTATAATTTTCTGTAACAATGGCACATATAATAATTAAAAACAGCACAAATGCTTGGTTTGTTTCATGTGTTGGCCAGTGTAGTGTGGACAATGTTGAGTCCTCAGCAGTTTCAGTAAGTTAGTAACAGGAAATCCAAGGACCAAGTCACATCTCTGAGCAAGGGTTCATGAAACTCCTCTGACCCTCTGAAAGTTTGTCCCTGACCTTCCAACCAGTGCTGAGGACCCTCTCCATCCAGTTCATACAGAGAAATGAGAGTCCAAGCTCCTTTCTTATGCTTGACCAATCCATGGGGAACAACCGCTGATCCCAAGGAGAAGAGGGAAGGCCAAAGACGAGATGTTTTCTTCAAGGAGGACAGCAAGAAGGTTGTAGCCATAGGTGAGGACAGCTCTTTCTAGATACTTCTCCAAGATTTTTGGCTTTGTTCAGGGACTACTCAAGAAAATATCCTTGGATCCTTATTAGCCCTCAAGTCTCTACATAAAAGAATTCTGTGTGTGTGTGTGTGTGTGTGTGTGTGTGTGTGTGTGTGTGTATGTGTGTGTGTAAGACCCCTGGTGCCTGGATTCCAAAGAAATATTCTGCTCAGGGCTCCAAAGCACCGTGTGAACCTTCTCTGACTCGTGACAGTCTGAGCTAAGCAAATCAGCCAACTCCTTTGCAGAAGATATCTTGTTCAATTCCCAAGCCTTGTTCTCACTGGATCCACACAAATCAGTCCAGTTCAAGGGACAGTGAATTCCAGTCTGTTCATTCCTGCTCTGGCTAATCTCCAGTATGGACCTTGGAGCTCAGGAACATCAATAGGTCAGCCAGGAAACAAGCTGTAGGCCTTCTAAACATCTTCTAATGATGAGCATGTAAGCATCTAACTGGACAAAGTGTGGTTTAGAGAAGGCTAGAAGTGGGAAGTGGAAATGGACAGTTGACCACCAAGAATAGCTGACATTCTTGGAAATGTCTGTCCCTCTCTATTTATAGAAAAATCTCTCCAGGAAGTAGCTCCACGGACCAGCTTCTAGCACCACAGACCTACTGGTTGGGTTTCATGACTTTTCTCTGAAAAGCCACAGTCTTACTACCCCAAGATTCTCCTTAAACATCCTTAACTGGGAGAGGAGAGTCAGCCTTTTGACTACAAGAACTCTAAACTGGCTACACAGCTAACTCTCCCTGACTGATGTGTGCAGTTGGTGTTGTCTGGATGGCACATAAACCAAAGATGCTCAACTCCCTTCCTCTGTGGAACGAGACTCCGATTTGAGCTTCACGAACTCTCGAGCCACCTCGTCATTGCTCCTCTGAGACAGAATCCGGAGAATGGTCATGCCTGTCTCATCCATGTGGATCTTCCGTCCCAGTGGGCACCAGCAGGCACAGCTGCCCTTGGCTGCCACATCCCTCAGAGGCATTACTGCCAGTCCTATCACACGATCCTCCCGGGCAAAGCAGTAATCCTTCACGCATATCTGTAACTCATAGGCCTCTGGACCCTCTTCATTTCCCAGGAGGCTATGAGCAAAGGGTAGAGGGAAAAAAAGCCAGAAATGAACATTCTCTGCTGAATTCATTCAAGTTTGACATCCAACCCATGGATCTATTCCCAGTCTCTTCACCCTTACCAGCCAGCACTCCCTCATTCCAGAACCTGTAGGTTTCCAACTCTGTAACTTACAAGTGGAATGTCTCATTGTACTTGGGGGTCCAGTTGTTGCTTTTAGACTTGGTTGTGAACTTCCTCTTCTTATCACTTTGGTGTGGGCCAACCATGGTCACTTCCACAAAAGGCCGGAACATACCCGCTGTCTGCCACTTGAGGTCATTGGCTGCTACCACTACCCAAACAAGGGAGATCTGTGAGGGATCCCCCCAGTATCCCAGTTCTTGAACCCCAGGTCATGTTCCCCCTGAGAAGGACTGAGCTGGAGCACTGGGATGAGCAGACCCTGCTTTCACAGGATGAGTGAGGTCATCACAAGAAAAAGGCAAACTTACAAGTCAAGAGCACTCACCTTTCACTGTCACCTTATGCTCCCCAGTGCCAGGATGTGTAAATAAGTCCACCTGAATGGAGACTTCTCCCACAGGGTCATCCACACCAGCCCCTGAGGACAGATGATTGTCTATAGAGAACTAGTTCCAGATAAAATAAGTTTAGAATGCTCCCACCTTACACCCTTCCCTAAAGCAAGAAGATATCACCCACAGTAGTCATGGGGAAGTAACAAATGGGAGAAGAAACAACAGAAGAGAAAGAATGAGGATGTGTACTCTAACACAAAATAAGCTGACAGAATCTTGGGAGAAAGTTACTGAAACATGCACTGAGAATTCTCTCTCCCTTCTTCCCTCTTTCTCTCTGCTTTTCGCTTGTTCTTACTCCTTATATGGTGCAGGCTGGACTTGAATTTGAGAGCCTCATGCTTCAGCCTCTTGATTTCTCGGATTATAGGCATGTGTTATTGTGCACTGACTTATGATATCTCTTACTGCTCTAGCCAAGAGATGCAACCTCATGCTTTTCTCAGGATTTCTGGGTGCCCTTGCTTGGGAGGTCTTCTCTATCCTACTTAAACCCACAGAACAACTCTCTAGTCACAATCTCTGCATAGGGTCAGTCTGTAGGTTTGTCTCAGTAGGGTCTCCACCTGATTTTGAGAACATGTCACTACCCTGTACCTCAAAGAAAACCCTCCTTTGTCCTGAGGTGTAGTGGTGGGGAATTTGGAGGACAAGACAGAGGTCAAGAACAGAAGTTCTTCCTGGGCTATATTGGTGTGGGAGAATTGTCTGTATTCTGTCAATCATATTTTAATAAAACGCTGATTGGTCAGGCAGGCAGTATAGGCGTGAAAGCCAGACAGGAAGTAGGGGTGGAGCAAAGAGACTGGGAGTATTCTGGAAGCAGAAATTTTCTCTGCTATTCCTGCGCAGACCACCGAAGAGGCAACATGTAAGTTGTCACACTGAGAAAGGTACTGAGCCCATGTGGCTAACATAGATAAGGATAATGGGGTAATATAAGTTATAAGAGTTAACAAGAAGCCTGACCTAATGGGCCAATCAGTTTATAACCTTATGGAGTCCTCTGTGTGATTTTCCTTGGGGTATGCCGGTTGTGGGGTACCAGGCGGGACAGATACCCCAACAAGCCGGCGTCTCATGTTACACTATATGAATACATTGCCAAGGTCAAAGGTTCAGCATAGAGCTCCTGAACTTTTGACAGCTGGTTCAGCCATCCCAAGCATACACTTCACTGTAGTTCACAGGGTGAGTCAATGTTTTGATTCATGACTGCACAATGTAAAAGAACATACCCTTTTCTGGACGAATGTCCTCATTAGCAGTAAACCTAATACCTTTCCCATCATGCACTGAGCGAGGATGACAGTCAAGTCAAGAGGTGAGCAGCAGCAGAACAAGAAAGAAGAGTTGTTAGAGGTCAAGGAGTTACAGACATTCATGAGAGTCCAAATACATTCTGAGGAAGCTCAGACTGGGACAGGGTACAGAAAGAGGTCTGAGAGTCAAGG